GTCGTCTAGCCTAGGGATAGAAATCAAATGGCGCCTCATATTGGGCACATACAATATATCAGTCAATAACGTATATGTTCTTCCTGGTAAACATAGCTTGAAAGTACCAACACTTAGTACATCGCAGTAGGTGTTATTTCCCATATAAATCCGCTGGTTATCGGCTGCAATCTCTTCCAATTCTATGAATTTGTCCTTGGTCCTCGAGACATGTTGGGTAGAGGCTAAGTCAACTCACCAATTTCTTAGGTCATGGTCGGCAACTATTGATTCTAGGACTACGCAAATCAAGTCATTTATCTTCTTTTGATTATTTCGAGCATGGTTGTTATTCTGGTTACTTCTTTTTTTTTCCAGCTTAGAACAATTAAATTTGATGTGCCCAATTTCCTTACAATAAAAACATGCCTTCTCAACCTTATTCTTTTCATTTTTAAAATTTATCCCCTTTCTCTTATATCTATTATTTTTCTGATAATTGAAAGGTTTATTAGGGATCTGAGAAGATGTACTGTGGACAAAGTGGAGCTCATTTGACTTCTTCCTCGTTCTTCTCTCAGCTTCAATACTAAGATACATGAGAAGATTTAACATGATTATCCCTTGTGCAGAATGGTTCAATGCAATTACAACATACTTCCAAGATAGAGGAAGACTGTTAAGGACAATGGACACTTGCATGCGATCGGGTACTGGATTTCCGGCTGCAGCAAGGTCCTTTGCGAGCACTTTCATTTTATTGTCATGCTCAGTCACTAAGTCCGATTCTTTTATTCTACAAGAATTGTATTTTTCTATAAACAATTGTAAATGGGTCTTAGAAGTTGTCTCATACTTTTCAGATAGGGTGCTCATCATACTTTTAGTTGTGGTGTGATCCACAAAGACTCTAATTAAATCATCTTCCATAAACATAGTAGTCCTAGCTACTTTGTCATCTTCTAACCATTTTTCAAGTCACCTTCTGGCTTGACCATTGGCATTAGACTCTAAAACTGGTGGTTTTGTTTCTAGGACATAATCTACCCTATCTTGGAAAATGATATATCCAATTTTTCTTTTCCACATAGAAAATTGGTTCAATTGAGTTTTTCAAGTTTTGACAGTTATGACATGACGAGCCTAGATGCCATTTTAAATTTTTAGATAATACGTAAAAGTTCAAAATTTAATTATGTTTAAGAAAGGGTTGTCTACTAGCTAAATCAATAGGTTTGCCGACTCTCAGTGAGCTGCAGCCTCAAAGAAAAATTTTCTCGAATAGTTTATGTTCGCACTGCTGTGATATAACAAAAAATCAATAAAGTAAGGCAACAACTACTTTATATCAAATCTTGCATAAAAATAAATTTCATAAATATGTGAATATGTATTAGCACAAGAGAGAGAGCCTGCAATGATATTTGATATTTTCAATAAAATATATGGCATAACATAATTGCAAAAAATGAATTCCCAAAATCAAGATCATGAAAATTTCTTTAAAAAGAAAAAAAGGATAAAGCATAGAATAATTATTTGCAATGCAATGATAATTATTATACAAATAAAATATGTAGAAAATCCCTAAATTATAATCCACAAAAAAAAAATCCATGCAATTGATATAACAACCTTTACTTGAATAGTTATTGTGTGCATAACAATTTTCAATAATCCAATAAAAATATGCACTAATTTTCGGCAATAAAATATGGAAGAAAGAAAGTGGCTAGCCAACTGATTTTCAGCAATTATGTGTCTCTTTGTCTCTCTATCTAAAATTACAGCAACAATTATGTGTCTCTCACTAAAAATATCAAGAGTTTTGACTCTCTAAAATTCCAGCAATAGCTTTATCTTTCTCTCTAAAATAAAAGACGAAAGATCACTTGATATTAAGAAAATATAGTAGGCCAAAACAGCAGTCAACAGTAGTTCAATCTTATTAAGAAAAGCAATATTCTAAGTGCAATATGGCAAATAAAGAATATCTTAGAGAGGGGAAAAAAAAAATATTGCAATTAGGGTAGGAAAAAGAAAAATTATAAACCTTTTTCTTCAATAAAAAGGTCTTTTATTTGCTAAGGAGGGAGAGAGCAACTGAGGGGGGGAGAGAGCAACTGTTTTGGAACTTAAGTATCAAGGTTACATAGAAAAGCACTAATATTCTGCAAGAGATAACTTTATTGTGCTTTCTAAGAAGTAGATAAGCACTAAGTTTTGCAATGGGTAAAAGATATGGCACGACTAATAGTTTCCAAGATAAATATACTGACAATATACAGGGTTAGAAGATATACTTCTCACAAAGTTTTACAAGAGATCAATCTATGCGGGAGATGGACGGTAGCCGATGATGGTTTAACAAAAAGAAAACACGAAAACCATATTTCAGTGAATTTCTATGAAATTAATAAGATTCCTATGAAATTTTCAATGAATAAAGTTGCACTGCGAACAAATAGTCTCGCTAAGTCGTCAACAGTGACTTCTATTGAAAGAGTTCGCCTCAAAAAAAAAAAAATATTGGTTACGCAGTAGCACGCTAAAAAAAATCTAGCATTAAAAAAAATTGTTACCTTGACGATGAGCAAGAAATAAAGGCGTAGAGAGAAAAAAAAAAAGTGATTTGTTTCTCTATGTCTTTGTGTAATTAGGTTGCAAAGTTAGATTAAAAAAAACTATGATAATCGATGAACACGAATAAAACATGAAAATAATATAAAAAAAGCAAAAATCAAATAAAAATAAATAAATAAATAATGGAACTTGGACCTATAGGTTATATGAGCCCACCACGCTTCCACAACCCTCTCTGATACCAATGTTGGAATATGTTAGAAGATATGGATCTTTAAATTCCCAGGATTAGGGCCAGTGTCGTGAGACTGAGGATCGTAGAGATCAGGCTTTTACCAAAACTATGAGAACGCTGTAAATTTATGTGTACCTCTACATGGCGATGAAAATCCTTCTTAAAGACAGATGAGTTCTCCAACTTTCGGTTTCTTCCTAAAATTTCTGAAAAAACGTGGCCTTGTAATCCTAAAAAGTTCATAATTACTTTTTAGATATTAGATAACTGACACTTTCCCTCTCTAAACAGCCTCATTATTTTAATAATAAACATTAAATTATAAGATAGAAACAAAATACACGTTTAAAAACCCCATGCCATACACGTACCAACACTTTGAAGCAGAATCTTGACATTGCCGATTGTGGTGGTATCATAAAAAAATGATACAGGTGGTTCCATTGTGGCTTTTGTACCCCTTTGAGCAACAATTATAACAATACTGTTGAATTCCAGGCACTAGATAAGGTGATTTCTCTTGCACGGGAGCTGCATTGTGTACCTCTTATCATTGACTTCTTGATTCCCCAAGTCAGTATTGCAAGACTCCATAGAATAGTGCATATGCCTTGGTAACTGCAGAAGCAAGTTAGCATTTTTGCTTACACACTTTTAGAGAGGCTAACATGGCTGCCGACTCCTCAGCTGAAAATTATAAATGAAGCAATGGTGCAGTGTTCTTGCCCCTTAGATCTTGTAATGCATTTTCTTTCATCAGATTTTGTAATTAAGTAAGAATGATAAACCCTTATTCATTTTTTAATGAGTTAGGTGAGAAGAGAAGTCTAAACCTCAAATAAACACAAGTGGTGCTACACCACAACCCAATCCATTCTCAATTTGCAACATTTTGTTTGAAGACTTTCTTTGGTTACCCAACCCAATGGAAAAACAGAAGCACAGTATTATCGGAAAGTCCCCACCTCGTGAATATATATATATATATATGTATGTTTGGCAAGTCTTACGAAGCAATATCTCATCCCATGTAAGGGCCATTCAATCAATACAGGGGCATCTGATTGAAAAGCTAAGGGCCATTCATTCAATACAGGGGCATCTGATTGAAAAGCATGTAACCAAGAGACTGAAACAGTGGCGGAGGAAGAAACCCACAGAAGAAAGCACATTTTTTGGGACTTTGCACGGGTCCACACCCAACCTTTCCTAGCAAAGCAACCACACTATGCAACCTGCATTTTTCTTGGTAAAAGCCTATTTTAGCTCACTACAAAGTACTCCCCCAAAATAATACATGACCTTATTGTAGAGAGAGAGAGAGAAAGCATAACAAGTAAGTCCTCATTGTTGGAAAGGGCCCAATACTCACGTTGCTTTCGCATTAGCCCTTTCGGATAGTCTATCCCTAAAGATTTCTTTCAACTTCCGGATCCTCTCCTCTCCTCTCCTCTCCTCGTTTTTGTTTTTCTCCCTCTCAAGAGGTTAGAGAGAGAAAGATGAGTAAAGATTGTATTTTTGTTTTTTTTTTTGTTTTTTCAACGCTTGGTGTTCTTGGGAGTCTGAGCATTCAAAGCTCGTAAAAGTAAAAGAATCACCGAGACGGCGGGCCTCGGGAAGAAGCTTCTGTGGCAAAAGAAAAAGCCCGACCTTCGAGAATACGATCTTTGAGGGGAAGAGAGAGAGAGAGAGAGAGAGAGAAAGAGAGAGGAGTGGCATCAAAGTTGAAGCCCTAAAAAGCTCTAATCATACAGACATGACGACCACAAAGCCAAGAAAACACATCATCGAAATCCCCACTATCTCTCTCTCTCTCTCCTCTGAGCATTTTTGTCCCCCTCCAACTTTCTCTCTCCTCAAACCACCAGAAGAAAGTCGTCTCTGTCCTGTCTTTCTCTCTCTAACACGTACAATAAATAAAGCAACGAAGTCTTCCGTCCTCTCTCTCTCTACCTCTAGATTTATCAGTGGCACAATTGATTGATCTGCAGGCAATCCTGGCTCAACATCATCAGCAGGGGCAGAGGGTGACACAACTGTGGCAGAGGCCCAAGACTTTCTCTCTCTAACTCTCTTTCTCTCTCTGCTGTACATTTGGAGGGAGTCCCCACAACTGTCTGTCCTCGCTCCTGGACAAATCTGCAAGCCCCAATAATGCTTGGGTGCTTGTAAACCAGACAAGCCCTCCTTTTTAGTGTGAGAAAACACTTTTAGTAGCCTTTCCATTTCAATTTTAATTCCCACCCCCTCCTTCCTCACCTTGCTCCACTCGTTCCCCTCTCTCTCTCTTGAAACCACAAGCACCCTCTCCCCCTTCCTCTCCCTCTCTCTCTCTTCCTGCCTTACTAGACCACCACACTCTCTCTCCTCTTCCCCCCTCTATCTCACTAGACTTAATTCCATTTCCTTCTCTTTCTTCAAATTTTGCTCCAAGGATCATTTAATTTATGTTTCCTGTTTGCCGTTAGGCAAGGAGAGAGAAACTGAGAAGTAGAGAGAGAAAGGAGGAGCATGGTCGCCACCATTTATTGCCGAGGAAGCTTGGCCAATGCAAATGGTTGGTAGAGGGGATTAAAGGAACCCCACTTCCATTACTGCAACAAGAAGACTATTGAGATAATGCAAGGACCCATCGATCCCTGTGTGAGTTTCTCTCTCTAAATGATTTTGCTCCTTACAAAAATCTGAATCTCCATTTTAAGGAAACCTGCATTTACTATGTCCTGCCCTCACATTCAATGCCTTATGCAATACCCTGTCTTCAACATTCTTGTCTGCAAATCTCTACATGGTAGCACTCTATACTCTCTCTCATCCTTCCTAAGAATGCCTGGTTTTACTAGGACGTAAACATTACTCCAACAACGTCCAAACGAGCAATGCGTGCTGTAGAGGAAATGCATTTCCTGGTTTTGTTCATTTGTTTTATGCCATGCCATTACTATTTTCTAGAGAAAGAGATGCTGCAGTTTCTTATTGTGCTTCTCATTTTAGTGTTTGCAGGCCTTTGTGGAGCACCAGACCCTAGAGTGCTTAGACCAGGGGAATGGCGTGGACTTGGGTGCACCGGCCTGGGCACCCACTTTGGGTGCAGAAGGTCTCAGATTAGGGGACAATTGGTTCACTTCCTTCTGTAGCTTGAGCCCACAAAAGAGCGCAATGCCAAATCTGTCATTTCTCAACATCTTAGAACCAGCTAGAGCCTCTGGCTTATGCCCATATTTCATGGATTCATCACATATTCAAGCTTTAGAGCTTGAGAGCTGCATAACCCATGTCTCTGAAACTTATTCTCCTGAAAAACCAGGAGCAAAGGATATTAGGAAGTTAGAAGAGGCAGCAAGCTCAGTTAACAGAGAACCCAACTCACCGGAAAATGGAAGAGACCATAACTCTGGTTCTTCTTCTGGGTGGGTACGCGAGCTTAGGGCACAACCAGAGGCGAAACATTTGAGTACCGGTGCTGTTAGAGAGAGGAAGAAGAGGAAGAGGTCTAAGGCGTGTAAGAATAGCCGGGAAGTGGAGAGCCAGAGAATGACACACATTGCAGTAGAGAGAAACAGGAGGAAGCAGATGAACGAGCATCTCAATGCTCTGCGCTCTCTCATGCCTGCCTCTTTCATTCAAAGGGTAAGAATTCGACCCCCATTTCACCTCTCTCTCTGCAATCTCCCATCCTGATTACACTCTGAAAACCCTAATGGTTTCCTATTTGTCTTTGAACTCAGGGTGACCAAGCCTCAATCATAGGAGGTGCAATAGATTTTGTCAAAGAGCTTGAGCAACTCTTGCAATCACTTCAAGCTAAGAAGCAAACCAGGCAATCAGAAGAGGGTTACAGCCCAACAAGCTCCACTGTCCCCTTCAATGGCTTCTTCTCTTCTCCTCAATACACAACCTACAGCAATTTCAAGTATATGGTCGACGGCTTAATGGACCAGAGGGGCAATGAATTCAAAGCTGAGAACAAATCAGCGGTTGCAGACATTGAAGTAACACTAATCCAAACCCATGCCAACCTCAAAATCCTTTCGCCAAGGCGACCGGGCCAATTATTGAAGACCATTGCTGCACTCGAAAACTTAGAACTCACCATCTTGCACCTCAACATTACCACCATTCAGCACTCTGTGCTGTATTCTTTTAATCTTAAGGTACGTATTAAACTCAAAAAACCCAATTCGATTTTGTGCTAGAAAACCAGTCCCATGAATTCAGAAATCAGAAGAAAGATTAGCATTAATTCTCTTCATTTTATGATTGTTGCAGATCGAAGAGGGCTGTAAGCTTGGATCGGCTGATGAGATCGCTGCTGCTGTGCATCAAATCTTTAGCTTCATTAATGAAAACTGAGTCATTTCTGTTAAATCATCAAATGAAAGGCGAATATATGGCCTCTCTCTCATGATTTGGAGATTAACTCACTACAATGTAAAGCAAGAATCGGGTTTAGTTTATATGATTTAGTGATTATTTGTTTTTCAAAGGGGCGTTTTGAAATTGAACTCAAACACTGGGGTTGGGCCGGCATCATTATTGGCAATGATGCGTGACCTCTGACTTTTCATCCTTAACTCAAAGTCCATTATCCATTGGTTCTGTTCATTTTCTATATAATAATATTATATTTGTCTCAAAAAAAAAAATTTAATATATTTATAGGGTGTCGTTTGTATAGAGCCCAGGCTCTAAACAATCAAATTAGAAACTACATTCAAATAGTATGGAGAAATGTGGTTTTAATATTCTATATCTTTGTACTAGTCTTAAAATATATTTTTATAGTTATTTATAAAATATAAATTTTCAAAAATTATATAGATCGACAAATATAAAAACTTAAAAATTTTGAAAATTGACGGTTCAAAAACGTGTTACAAAATACACTTGAAATCCATGTTTTTCTTATGCCCATCCATCTTAATGTCTAAATGATCGATTTGAAGATATTTGAGCATCAAAACAACTTTCTGATGAAAGTTTTGAGATAAGCTCAAATTTGATTGTTTAGAGAGTAGGCTCCATATAAACTTTTCCCATATTTTATGTATGTGACACACCACCTTTTTAATTTCCAACAACCCTCGCAGGCTCCAAATCCTTATATACAGAAACGCTACCGCGGGAGCACGGTGTACTGGCTTAGCTCTAGGCTTAACTCTGCCGGCCTCCACACTTCTATAATATTTGGTTTGGGAAAATATTCAAGATCTGTTCGTGTAGTATTTATTTTGGTTCTTTATTAAACTGGCCCAATATCCGTACTTATTCACCCAAAAATTTATAGCACGAAATAAGATATGAGGTTTAATTTTAGTAAGATGTGAGGTTTAATTTTAGTAAAAGGTTTTAAAAGAGCAGGGGATGACATAGAGGCTAGAATTAATAAAAAAATGATATGATGGATTTTGATTTTTTTGATAGTAGAGCTCTTGATAGAGAAGAATGGAGAAATATGATTCATGTAGCCGACCCCAAAAAATGAGGTTAAGGTTTGGATGATGATGATGGTGGTCTAGCAAAATATTCAAAAATTATGAAAAGTTAATCTACTCGCGAGATACAAGGGTCAAGTTTGTATAAGGGGTTTGTACTTCTAAATTTTGTTTAGAGATATAGTTCCAGTGTTTGAAGCTGTATAGTAGTTTAAAATTTCTTCCCATCCTTATTAATGAAATTTAAAATTTTAAAAATAATTTGGATAAACCATATTTATAAATATTGAAAAATCTTGAAAATTGACGGTCTAAATAATTTGTTACGAGATGCATTAATGCAAAATTTAAAACTCTTTTTTTCTTCATGTTCATGTTCATGATTCACCACTAGAAGCATCTTATTTTAGAAGTATAAGTTTACCTCGTATAAACTTTTTCTGAAGACAATGCTCTACTTTTTATCCCAACTCCTATCATATATTTTAAGCTCGTTCCAAACTAGTTGTACGAAAAAAATATAAGTTTCTATATGGCCTAGGCTTATAAAAACAAAATAAAGCTTCATCTCAAATCTTCATAAGAAAAGCACTTTCTGCAATAGAAATCTCTATGATGGCACTAAAATCAATTTCCAACACCAACAAAAAAATTTAAAACTAAAAAGAGAATGAATCGAATCTATGAACATTTATTTTTAAAAACATGAAAGACGGTCTAGATAATTTGTTATAATATACATTACTTTTTTTTTAGAACTTCAAATTCTAATTTTTTTCAAGATGGTCAAACCCAGATGAGTGGCATAAAGGCTTTCCAATATTTGAAGGGTGAGGTTTGTACAAGGTGTCAACCTTAGACAATCATAGTAAGGAGCACCTCAAATTTGCATTAAAAGATGTATTTTATGTGCCAAAACTCTTATTGTAGCCTAAAAGTCTATGTTTCACACCTATGATGAAATTGAAAGACCCGAAAATGGTGTAAATCTAGTAAATTTATGAGCACTCGAAAATCTTGAAAATAGACAGTCTAGATAATGTGTTACAAGATGAACTATTTTTATGACTTGAAATTCATTTTTTTATTCCTATCTATATATTTCGAGATCAAGATAATCAATTGGAAAATTTTCTAGTGACAAAATATTCTTTTCGATAAATATATGAGGTGCACCTTACTTCTAGAATATAGGGTTGGCACCTTATATAAACTTTTTCTATACTTGAATTGTAATTTTCAATTAATTTTGAGGTGAGTATACTTCCACAATACAAGGTTAACCCCTTATATAAACTTTTTTTATATTTAAATTGTAATTTTCAATTAGTTTTGAGTTGAGTATTTCCATATTCGACAATACAAGGTTGGCACCTTATATAAATTTTTTTTCATATTTGAATTAAATTTTCAATTAGTTTTGAGTTGAGTATTTCCATATAGGGCTGCAGTGGTATCAAATTAAAAAAAAAAAAGGCCCGCCACGTCGTCAAGGTGCCCCGCCACGTGATGCTGGATCATCCATATTACGGTGTCGGGAGGGAAACCCTGACTGAGATGCCCAGATTCCCATACTGACGCTCGAAGGAAACGGCGACTCGACGATCTACGAGATCAGAGCGAATTCTAGAGAGAGAAAGGAAGAGACCGCTTTAAAGTTTGAGAGAGAGAGACGAAAAAGGCGGTGTCTTACTTTGCCGAGGCGATGGTGTCAGAGGGGCCATGTGCCGTCAGAGCGCGACGGGGACCCATCGACATGCCCTCGTGCGCCGTGCCTTTTTCTTCCCCCTGTCTCTTTTTCATGTGCCCAAAATGTCCCTCCACGAGTCAGTATTTTCTTCCCTCGACTTTCCCCGGTCTCGAGTCTTCTATTTGGATCCCCTACAATATGATACAGGTATGGTACGAGTTTGGGTAGTTTATAAGATATTTTTGTTTTCTAGAAGTTTATCGTGTATCATGATTTGGGTACCTCACATTAGGCCTCTTATGTGCCCTTTTTCATGGAAGAAATGAAGAGTTCGCCTTTATTATCATCATTAAATCCAAAAGAGTATATGCTCCTCTAAGGGTACCTTTTTATGAAATATTATTTAGAAGTGTTTTTAGGATTTCAGAAAAGAAAAAGGAAAAATTATTTAGACGATTATATCAAAATGTTTAGAAACATAAATATATTTTCAATTTTTTGAAAAGACGCAACAATTTAAATTGAAAAAACACCCACAAGAAAGCTTTTTATACACGGCAATAAATGTATAATATATTCTCATGGTATCACCTGATAAGGATGGCAACAAGCCAGGTCAGAGTCGACCACCCTTGTCACATGATGAAGAAAAAATAACAGAAAAAATAAAAAAATAAGAGAATCGGGCTGCAGTGTACCCACCCTGGTCCTGGGCTACAACTTATGGCCAAAACCCTACCATTCTAGGGCGGGGCGGGCCCATTGCTAGACCTATACCTGCATAAACTCATCTTTATCACTAAAAATGTTGCTCTTTTTTTTTGATATAAGAGATCACGCTTCCCAAAAAGGCAACTAGAAATAAGGCGTGGCGTGAATATTGCTCGTGGGGGAGTCCAGATGAAGCCCTTGGATCTAGTACTCGAAAGTATGCGACCTAACAATAGCAGGCAAAGTATACTATAACCGAGTTTAGCGTTGTTGCAATGGTTCTGGATGGTTAAACCTGGTCAAAGTAGAACAAATCCCCATTGCCTACCAAGTTTTATATGCGTTCTCATGACAGTAAGGGTGGCAACGGGCCCAGCGTCCCCTCGCCTAGCCCGTCCTTACTCCCTATAAGGCCGGCCCAGGTCATGTTCGGTTCAAAAAGGCCCTAGCTTAAGCCCAATGTTAGCCCTGTAAGGTGAGGCAATGAGGGGCTAAATAACATTGACAAAAAAAAAAAACAAATAAAAAGGGATTGGGCTGGTCTAAACCAGGCCATGACCGGGCGGGCCATGTCATATTTGGGCTAGGGCCCGGCCCATACCGGCCTTGAGGCCACATTTTATGCCCCAGCGCTTGCCTGATTGATCCCACCAGGCCACCCGGCCCATTACCACCCTTAAATGCCAATTATCATCATCGGGATACTATTTGTGGGATATCTTATCACGATATTATCGTGTCTTTCTAGTTACTCTGGAACCTATTAGTTAATTATCTGGATTTTATTATATTAAATTAAATATGTTATTTATTATAAAATAAATTAATATTGAGATTCATGAATTTGAATTCAAACGATAAACAATATCATATATAGATATGTTAAGAAATTTACAAAAATCGAAGTTGAAAATGATTTCCACTGCAAATCAAAATTAAAATTTCAAAACTCATTATCGAAGTAAAGAATTTCAGCTGCATATCCTTATCAATTACTTACAAATTGCTCATCACTTGCTTTATTGAGATTTTAAAAATATTTTTGGTAAATATTTCTTTTAAAATTCAAATTGCTGATTTTGCTTTCACAAGGCATAGTAGTTATTAATGGGAAAGGTTTTTATTGTGATAATAATTGGATGTTATGAGATATCACAATAAATTCATTTTATTGGGACATTAATGGCGTTATTATAGGCAATCGAAATTGTTAAATATTTAAGGAAAAATTACAAAACCCTCCCTCAAGTATACTATCTATGCAACTTATCCCAAGCTAATATTTTCTCACTTTTTTCCCACAACCATCTTTCCTCGCGAAAACCCGCAATCCAAAACAAATGAAAAATCCATGCGCTCCGGCAATCCATTTAAACACTCCGGCAATGCAAAGACTTGCTCCGGCAGTACAACTTCAGGATCCATAGCGCTTCGACGGTTAAATAGGCCGCTCCGTCAGTACACGTTCTGGATCCATAGCGCTCCGGCGGTTAAATAGGCCGTTCCGGCAATGAGGACACACGCTCCGGCAGTACACCTTCTGGTGCCACATCGTTCCGACGGTTGAATAGGTTGCACCGACAATAAAAATAAATGCTTCGGCAGTACTAATACGCCCTCCAATAATACATCTTCTAGAACCACATTGTTCTGGCGGTTTAATTGGTTGCTCCGACAATACGCTACTTGAACCC